TGGAGAGATGGCTCACACCTAAGAGTGCACAAACTGCTCTGGCAGAGGACACAAGTTCAGTAATCAGTACCCACATGGCAGCTCACAAGCATTTGTTACTCAGTTTCAAGGGATCCAACGCCTTCTTCAGGCCTTAGAGAGCACCAGGCACAGGCATTGTGCACAGATATACATACAGGAACTCTCACATACACATAAAATGAAAATAAATCTCCATGGGCAGGAGCAATAGTTCAGCCATTAAGAAGAGTACATCCAGCTCTTGCAGAGGACCTGAGCTCAATTCCCAAGACCCATATCCAGTGACTCATAACTGCATGTTATCTACAGTTCCAGGGAGAGCCAACATTTCTGACTTCTACATGCACCAACACTTATGTTTACAGGTGCACACAAATTATACATAATTTAAAAGAGCAAATCACTGTTTTGTTTCTTTGTTTTGCTTTGTTTGGTAAGATGGGGTTTCTCTATGTAGCTTTGTAGACCAGGCTGGCCTCGAACTCACAGAGATTCAGCAGCCTCTGCCTCCTGAGTGCTGGGGTTAAATGTGTGCACCATCCATTCCCAGCAAATACATCATTTTTTAAAACTAAATAAAATCTACAATGGTGGAAAACACCTGTGCCAAGCACTTGGGAAGTGACAGCAGAAAGATCAGGAGTTAAGAGACACAGCTGACTGTAATCAGGGTCAAGCCAGCATGGACTACATGAAACAGTCTCAAACAAAATAATACACATCTTAGTTAACATAAGTTGTAGATTTCCTAAAGTAAATTCCCAACCAACAGCACTGTAAGTTAAGACAAAACAAAGTTAATCTTATACATGGCATTTTCTCCACAAAGTATATTATGGCCTTCTTACCATCAAGAACACATGACAGCACTCAAGCACATGCTTGGTTTCTATGTGAACAGGTACCTCACCAAATAAACATCACCAAATAAACAATTCTATAAAGATGAGGTAGTCAGATAAGACAAATGTTTACAGAATGAGAACTGAAAGAAGTTGCTGTGTTAGCCCTCAACCAGGAGTTCTCACACTGGGCATCTCAGAATCTTCATCATTCTCAGTTTACCCATGAAAGGCCAGCAAATCTCTGGGGTAAAAACAGGCTTTAAGGTTACAAACAAATTTAACAATGGACTTTACATCACATATACATAAATACATGCATACTTAAGGTATGAAGGAATAGGACAGACAAGGGACTTCCAAAGGGCAATAAAAGTCAAAGTGTGCTTGGTTTTTATAATGAAAACTCTAAACTATAATTCTTATTAGGAAATAAGCAATTGCAAGATTGTTATCTCAAGGGTCTTTTCTCTGCTTCTGGGCATGTCAGGGCAATGTCTCATATTACCATCAATATTTAAATACACTGAGCACATTTTTATTTATTTCTTTTCATTTTACATATTAATCCCTGTTCTCCCTCCCTGTTTCCCTCCCTTCATACTCTCAAGCCCCCACCACCACACTCCTCTCCCACCGCACTCCACATGTAGGGTGATGTCTTCCAGAAGGGGTCATCTAAATCTGTCACATCATTTGGAGTAGGGACTAGGCCTTCTCTCCTATCTCTAGGTTAAGGGAGTATCCCTCCATTGGGGATGTGCACCCAAAGTCCTTTTGTGCACCAGGTACATATCCTGTTTCCACTGTCAGAGGTCCCTTAGATATCCCAGGCATTCTGGCAGAAACCCATGTTTAGGGAGTCTGAGTCAGTCCAATGCTGGAATCCCAGCTCTCAGTCTGGGGGCCCAGTAGCTCCTCCTTTTTCAGGTCAGCTGTCTCAATGTGTATTTGTAGCCTGGTCTTGTCCTCTCTCTCTGCAAATGCATTCCTGTTTTGCTCAATGGTTACTTGTGGGTGTCTGCTTCTGTTTCCATCTGCTGCTAGATGAGAGCTCTATGATGGTGGATAAGAAAGTCCTCAATCAGGGAAGGGCATTTATGGTAGCCCTTCCACTGTTGCTCAAATTGTTACTTGCAGTGAGTCTTGAAGGTCTCTGGACCTTTCTCTAGGTTCATTTTTCTCTTCAAACATATAATTGCTCCCTCTATTATGTTCCCCCCACCTCTCTCTCTCTCTCTCTCTCTCTCTCTCTCTCTCTCTCTCTCTTCTCATCTATTCCTCCCGTTGACTCAATCTTCCTAGGCTCACATGCTTTCCTCTCCTCCCCTTCTCTTCCTCCTAGCTCCCTCTCCACTCACTGCCCCACTACTCCCCATATGCTCAGGAGATCTTGTCCCTTTCCCTTCTGTGAGGGAACTAATATGTATCTCTTAGAATCCTCCTTGCATCTTAATTTCTTTGGCAGTGTTAATTACAGGCTGGTGATACTTTGCTCTGTCTAAAATACATATATGATTGAGTACATACAATTTTATTCCTTTTGTGACTGGGTTACCTCATTCAGGATGGTTTCTACAAGGTCCATTCACTTGACTGCAAATTTCAAGATTCTAATATTTTCTTTTCAGGCAGAGTAGTATTCCATTGTGTAAATGTGCCACATCTTCTTTATCCATTCTTCAGTTGAAGGGCATCTTGGTTGCTTCCAGATTCTTGCTATTACAAACCATGCTGCCATGAACATAGTAGAACAGAAGTCTTTGTTGCATGGATGTGGATCATTTGGGTATATGCCTAAGATGGCGATTGACGGGGCCTGTGGTAGACTGATTCCCATTTTCCTGAGGAACCGCCTTAATGATCTCCAAAATAACTGTACAACTTTGCACTCTCAACAACAGTGGAGGAGTGCTCCCCTTTCTGCACATCCTGTCCAGCATAAGTTGTTCTTGGTGTTTCTAATTTTACCCAATCTGGCAGCAGTAAGATGGTATCTCGTAGTTCCTTTGATTTGCATTTTCCTGATAGCTAAGGATTGTGAGTACTTTCTTTAGGGCCCTCCAGCCTTTTGAATTTCCTCTATTGAGAGTTCTCTATTAAGTTCTGGATCCCATTTTTAATAGGGTTATTTGGTGTTTTGTTGACTAGTTTCTTGAGTTCTTTGTATATTTTGGAGATCAGCCCTCTGTCAGATATAGGATTGGTGAAGATATTTTCCCAGTCTGTGGGCTGCCGTTTGGTCTTGTCAACTGTGTCCTTTGCCTTATAGAAGCTTCTCAGTTTGGGGAGGTCCCATTTATTAATTGTACATCTCAGTGTCTGTGCTACTAGAGTTATGTTCAGGAAGCAGTCTTCTGTACCAGTTTGTCCAAAGGTAATTCCCACTTTCTCTTCTATGAGGTTCTATGAGTTTCAGTGTGGATGGATTTATGTTGAGGTCTTTGATCCATTTGGACTTGAGTTTTGTGCATGGCGATAGACATGGGTCTATCTACAGTCTTCTACATACCCTTATCCAATTGTCCCAGCACCAGTTGTTGAAGATGCTGTCCTTGCCCCATTGTATAATTTTAGCTGTTTTGTCCTAAATCAGATTTAATTTCATTGGTGACCTTGTCTATTTTTCTGCCAATACCAGGCTGTTTTCAGGACTATAGGTCTGTTGTAGAGCTTAAAGTTGAGGACGGTGATGCCTCCTCGAGTTTCTTTATTGTACAGGATTGTTTGGCTATCCTGTTTTTTTTTTTTTCTTTTTCTGTATAAAGTTGATTATTATCCTTTCAAGGTCATTGAAGAATTGATTGAGCACAAATATTGATTGGAAACCCACTATTTTCCTTTCAGTTTTGGCACTGGGAATATAAATAAAAGTACCATACATCTTACAGGGTTTAAATTAATGAGAAGAGGAGCACATGATGTTTAGAGAACAAAACAATATGCGATGAGAAATAACGGGGCAAAATAAGAGATATTGGTTCAGTTAGGGTACCAAGAAATCATTCTTTAAGATGACAGTGGCACCCACATCTGAATGAAACAAAGATTCGAAAATGCAAGCACATAGAACACCACATAGTGAAAAAAATAAGAAGAAAAGAAAAAGCTTGAAAGATGAAAGACCTTACCATACAGATGTGCTGGGCACACCAAAAGTGAAGAAAGCCAATGGCAATAGATAGCAACAAAGAAAAGAGACATAGTATAGTCTATAGCTTCTCACAAGGTGGGTACGGTAAACTTGGCTCTGAGAATCTTGTTTTAAGTCTGTTTAAAAGCATTTGGGGTGGGGGTCCAGGAAAGACTGTGACAGTATGCACAATTTATGTTTTAGGAGTTATTCTGATTTTACGGAGAAAAGACAGTGTAGGAAGTTGAGGTATAAGATATTCATAGGGCTACTGTAATGAACCAACTACTGCTAATGATGGCTTTAACCAGAGTATTTGTAGATGATAAAAAGCCATCAGATTAAAGGTTAAGAAATTTGACAGAATTTGATGATAAGACAAACAAATATGGGACACAAAAGGGGCACTGAAGGTTGACTAGCAGCTGCCCTGTTCACAAAGACAATGATACTGCCATTTAGTAACTACAACAAGGAATATTAAGCAAGACTAACATGCGCAGAAGAAAGCAGTCAGTTTTATATACACCAGGAAGTTCCATCCAAAGACACTACTCAGATTCCTGGACCCTGTATGTCAGCATGAGTTTAAGGCAATAATCTGATAAATGTTACTAGATACTGAGAAAGGTAGCTTGGGAATTCCAACATATTTACATTTTGTTCATGAAGAAAAACGTTCAAGACAAAATAACATTCTTAAATGTGAATGATGTAGCCAGGTAATGTAGGGCACTCCTTTAAAACTAGCAGTCAGGAAGCAAAGGCAGGTGGATGTCTCTTAGTTCAAGACCAGCCTGGTCTACAGAGTGAGTTCCAGGATAGGCTGCAAAGCTACACAGACAAATCCTGTCTTGAAAACACAAACACCAAATTAAAAAAAAAAAAAGAAACAACATGAATGATTCTATGTAATTGATAACATCCAATAATCAATGTGTAAAGCCTCTAATACATAACATGCATTTAAAGACATTTCACTGGAGTTACCAAACACCTCTCACCTGTGAAGCATCCTTTCATTGTCTTGGTACAGCTCCCTCATCACTGTGATTTTCCTTTGAAGCTTCTGTTTCTCGATTTCAAGTTGTGTATTACCTGACTGCAGAGACACTTGTTCAGACTTGAGACTTCGCATATGCTCTAGACAAAGTTACAAAATCATAAAGAAACAAAATTAAAGGAATTTCATAAAATTAAAAACATATTAAAATCATATTAAAGATACACAAAATTCGCCAGATCACTGTGACTTCAAAACCCACCTACTTTATAAAGATACACAGAGAAGCCTGTCTTGAAAACAAAAATCCGTAGTCACATGCCTAGGGTTTTTTAATGTATATGGAATCACTCAGACAATATACAATTAAAAATATGTCTTAAATTTTTAGTGGCTAGAGAGGTTAAGGGGAGTGTTTGTTTTTCCAAAGATCCTGAGTTCAGATCTCAGCAACTACATGGTGGCTCACACAATCTGTAATGGTGTCTGGTGCCCTCATCTGGCTTGCAGGTGTGCATCCAGTCAGAACACTGTATACATAATAAATAAATAAATCTTAAAAAAAAAAAGATAATTGACAATATTGGACATGCCCAGGGACATACAGCTATAGACAATTACTATAGGCAACAGTTCAGTTACTAGTACCATAATAAATCAGCTTTTTTTTTCAGTCAAAATTGTTCATGTGCTGTCATTCAAACTAGCTGATAATAAGTGCTCATTTCCACTTTCCTGAGAGACCAAGTCTCAAACAAAATGAATACTGGAAAGAATAATGACTTTTCCATTATTGCAACTGGTATACTACTGAATCACCCACAAAATTGGGGAGATAGCTCAGTCAGTTAGGTACTGGCTAAACAAACATGAGGACCAAAGTTTGGGTCATGAGCACCCATATAAGACCTGTCTGAGTGCTGGAAAGGGAAAAAACAAGATCCCTAGGGCTCACTGAGCAGCACAATCCAGGTTTAATGAGAGCTTTCTCAATGAATAAGGGGGAAAGCTATTGAAGGAAAGCCTGAATATCTACTTTTGTCCTCTATATACATATGAATACAGACACACACAAAATGGATTATCAATTATAAGTGATTGTGAATTCTGTATGAACTAGCATACCATTATTTTTACATATCTCACTTTTCTTTCAATATGATTACTACAACTCTACACAGCTCTAATATTGAAATGAGATCCTCAACTCTGACCTGCTCTAAGGTATCATTCCCAAAACATATGTGAACCAGTCGAATACAAGAAAAAATGCACTATACTTCAAAAGGGCAGTTTCAAAATCATAACAAGGAAAAGTTTAGTAACTATATGTAATGGGATGTTATTATTCTAAAATGCAAGCTAAATAAACATATGGACCAAAAGAAAAATTTGTGTCAATACAGTAATAGCAAAGTGAACATGTACAGGAAATCATGCATAGGTGACGTCTGCAAAAATTGTAATGCTATACCAGAAAAAAATCCCCATCCATGCTGTCTGCCAAATCTAACAAGTCACTTATCAAGAAATCAATGATCAATATAAGCTGTAATATAATTGAATCATACTAATGCAAAGAAGTCTTACAAAACAACACAAATTATTTTACCATTGTACACTCAAGCTCTTTTTTCTAGTGTCTTACTTTATCTCATTTTAAAACTTTTAAAACTAAGTGTTTGGGAGACGTGGAAGGCAGGGGCGGGCTCAGAGGGAAGGGGTCTGGGAAAAAGTATAGCTCAATTAAAAAAAAATGTGTGTGTGTGTGTGTGTGTGTGTGTGTGTGTGTTCACCTGAGCCTGCATGCCTGGGTGGGCAAAGGTCAGAAGACAACTAGCAGGGGTCTGTTCTCTCCTTCCACTGGAGACTGAATTCAGACCATCAGGCTCAGAAGAAGGGGCTTTTATGCACTGAACCCACACACTATAATAGGGCACTGTACAGGCCAGGTGCAGTAATTTTAAGCCTATATAAAGCAGATGTGTTAGAAGCTGAGGTAGAAATGTGAAGACTTCAAGAAGCCTGGGGTTACATAGTAACATGCATTTAAAGAAAGAACACTATAAATTATTACCAAAAAGGCCAGAAACTATGGGAGATGAGAGATGGTTAGAGAAAAATGCCCTCATATGGTAAAAATTAATTATTGAAAAATTTTATGACGCATTAAGGAAAGAAAGTTGGGGCTGGAGACATGGCTCAACAGTTAAGAGCAATGAATGCTCTTCCAGAGAACATTGGCTCAATTCTGATCACCCACAGGGCAGCTCAAAACTGTCTGTAACTCCAGGGGATCTGACACTTTCACACAGACATATATGTGAGCAAAATCCCAATAAAGTAAATAAATAAAATACATTAAATAATTTTAAAAACACCATGGAAAAAGAAAAGGTAGATTTGGAGGAACGCTCTACACACACAAGAGTTTCCAGTATTACATGGTGGGGTGAGGGGATTAAGACTGGCCAAGAGAAGGAGTAAACAATGGAATAACTTGTGAACTAATTGCTTGCTACACTGGTACTTCCTACTAAGATACATGTATGTTAATGTATGCCTCGATAAAGCTGCCTTGAGAACAGAGTGCATATTCCTCTCTGTATCTTCCATGCTGTTAATACCATTCTTCTCAGATAGCAGCATTTTTTAAAATTAGATTAGTGTTTTTTCAGGTCTAATAACAATAAAATTACTATAATCAATGAGTAGAGCAATTTAATCCAATGGTTCAATCACTTTTAAGCATTTTGCTCATTAAAAGAATTAAAGGCCTTTGAGACCCTTTTGGTCTTTTTCACATCAGATCTCAACCCTGGTCTTGAAGGTTATAAAGAAGATAAAGTACACTGAAGCTGGCCTCCCAATGATGAAGTCTGATAAAGAGCATAGGTCCATGATGGGAGATGTCATTCTGTATATGTTTCTCATACTGCTTAATAAATAAAGCACCGTTGGCCAATAGGAAAGGAAGATAGGAGGGACTAGGAGACAAGGAGGAACAGGAAATAGTAAGGAGAGTCAGGATGGAGGTCAAGATGGAGAGTCTGAAGAAAGCAGTATGCCGCCAGCTCCCCGGTAAGAGAAATACATAGATCAGCAGAAATGGGTTAATAATTATGGCAGAGCTAGCCGATAAGAAACAAGTAACAGGGCCAACAGCATTGTATCAAATACAGAGTCTCTGTGTGTTAATTGGTGCTGGCGCGGCAGCAGGACAAGAGCTGGTGGCAACAGGCGGAAAATCCCGTACTCCTTACAGGTCCAGATTCAAATGGTTCTGGCTATCATTTGGAATACATAATAAGTTAAGAAATAAAAGGAAGAAATGTGAAGTTCTGGGCAGCCGTGGCAATGGTTGACTACGTATTGACGTTTCTTGTATTCATTGAGAGGATTATTTTGTTGTTGTTAATTTCTGGTATGTTTATATTCAGCAGTGTAATCAGTGAAGGGGTCTTGCCTGTGATCATAGGTGTAGAGTTAGAAACAGGCAGGAAAAGCATCAGGCAGGTAGAAATGAAGCTCCACAAGCAGAAGCTTTTGTCTTACGTTGCATCATTTATGCAAGTGTAACAGGAACAATAAAGCCTGTTTTGAAAAGAAAATATAGATGAGGAGAAATAAAAAAAAAAAAAAAAGATGCCTGTGGTCCCATTCTGAGTTAACCAGCACAGACATTTGAATATGTCCATCCATTCTCTTCAGATATAAACATGAATTTATTTCATTAACAAAGCGAGATGTGATATACCTTTTATAGCACAAACACAACTGGCAAAAACTATTTTTCAATGTGAACAAAATCATCAAACTTTTTTAATACTTTCCCTAAAAAGTATTTATTTTACAGGTCTAAATTCACTCCTGTGTATGCTAATAAATTATATGAATATATTAAAGTAGTAGACATTACAAGCTTAAGTCCTGAAGATCATTTTCTCAATTTTAAAAAATGTAAGGAAAAATTTAAATTTAAAACTTTTTAACATCTAAATCTCTATCCACCATTGTACTCCTTGTGGTGGATTGAGTGAAAATGTCACCCTAGGCTCAGAGGATGTGACACTATTAGGAAGTATTGCTTTGTAGGAGGAAGTTGTCACTGAGGGTGAGCTTTGAGGTTTCAGATGCTCAAGACTGACCCAGTGGCACTCTTCCTTCCTGCTGCCTGCAGATGTAGATATAGAACTCCTGGCTCTTTCCCCAGCACCATGTCTGCCTGTGTGATCTTCTGCAGTGCAATTACTATGGAATACTACTTTATGGTATACTTATCATTTGCAGGCCCTAGAACTCTGAACTATAAGCCAGATCCAATGAATGTCTTCCTTATAAGAGTTGCCATGGCCAAGGTGTCTCTACATAGCAATAGAAACCCTAAAAAAGATGCACCATACTCCACATTCTTACATGCTTTTAATAATTTACATAAATATAAGAGAAAATGGAGTACGTTTACCACTGACTGTAAAACTCAGAAGTAATTCATTCTCTTTAAGGAGACATGCTTGTCAAGAACCCTTACCTGTAAGATCATCATTTGTTGCATCTATTTCAGATAACTGAGTATAAATTTGGTTTCTGTCTCCTTCTAGGATTTTTAACAAAGCACTTAACTTTAAAGAAGGAAAAGGAGAAGAAAAGCAATTATCAATTACACACACACACACACAAAAAAAAAACCCCACACATCCCCAATATACCCCATACTACTGTTCTGCAGTTATTTTCCCTGTTATGATGTTATCATGGACAACATAAAGACATCAGTGCAGCTGCTAAAGCAGCCTTCACCCTATACAATCAGGACTTTTTACACAGATTAACTAAGAACAGACAGAGGGAATAAACCAGAAGAAAACATAGCTATTATTTATTTCTCAAAAGAGTATGTGGTACCATTGGAACCAGAAGAAAAGAATGAATAAGGTGAATGATGCAACAAAACAATAATATTTCTGAAGATATCTTTAATGGAAGGAATGAGTGTACAATTTGAACATTTCTAAATACTCTAATTATAAGAATTTTTAAAGTTGATATAAAAAAAGAAATTGATAAGGAAATCCTAGGGGCTGGAGAGATAGTGCAGTGGCTGCTCTTCCAGTGGACCCGGATTTAAGTCTCTACACCCACATGGCAGCTCACGAGTGTCTGTACCTCCAGTTCCAGGGAATCTCAAACTCTCATAAAGGCAAGCATGCTGGCAAACCACCAATGCACAGAAAATTAATACATCAAGAGAAAAAGAAAATTCTAATCATTTGTCACATAATCTTATACAAAAAAATAAAAGCAATCTTTAAATTAGTTACATAAGGACACACAGATTTCATCTCTGCTGTAGGTCCTGCTCCTTCTCATCTAGATTTTTACATACTAATACAAACCTCAGTAGCATATATTAGCTTCCTCAAAGCTCCCTTAGGCTGATTACCTACAGTGAAAAATAAAACCATACTTAGTGAACACATCCAGATTAATGCATTAGTTCTTCATCTAGTCTTGCAACCCCTCTTCCGGCCAAAATTAAACAATTTGAGGCTGAGCTTACTTGCTCTTGACTCTAATTCCAACATTTCACAGCTAAGACAAGAGGATTGTCTCAGTAAAAAGAGTAATTAAAATAAAAACAATAATTTACATAAGGTAGAGTGACCTACACTCAGGAAGATAGACAGTGCACTACAGAGACCCAACAAGAACTGAATATTTACATAAACAGTGTCCATGGACTTAACTATGCTTAGATTCTTATGGCATTACAGCATCCAGGTTAATTAGTCAATAGTGGCTTCAACACTAAAATTATTAATGAACCATGGCTCCAAGTTAAGTACTATTAAACATAAATAGAATTTATGTTTCTTCTATTATAAAATAAAAATGAAAAATACAAATATACCTTACTATAGTTCCCCTTTTGTTATGGAACTTAAGAGCTGTGTTGTTATAATGAAGAAATATAGGCTATAGAGAAGAACAAAAGAGAAGAAGTCTACAACTCTGAAGAGGTAAAGAAAGAGTTACACAAAACACTAGTTAAATAAGGTGGAAAGAGTGCGTGGTACTTCATGAAGATAGACAAAATGTGCCAAGTCTAAGTATATGAGGAGCTCGATACACATGTGGAATGAAGAGGAAACAAGGAGCCGGTCGCCACAAGTCAGTGCACGTTATTCTCTAAGTCATTGTTCACTTCTACATCCAGATCACCATCATCAGTTACATCTTCCCCAAGCACAGATTTCCAGTCTTTCATCCTTAGCAGGCTCTCCATCAGAGACTGGATATTGAGTAAAAACAGAAAACAAAAAGAGAAGGTAATGACTCATGATAATAGCTTTACAATTTAGAAGTTAATTCATCTGAAATTCAATCCTGAGCCAATGAGATGGCTCGGCAGGTAAAAGCATCTGCCACTTAGACTGATAATCTGAGTTTAATCCCCAGAACCCACATGGTAGGAAAATTGCCTCCCAAAATTTGTCTTCTGAACTCCATACCCACATCATGGAATGCACATACCTGACACATACATACACAAGTAAGTTTTTAAATATTATAATTTTTAAATCAATCCCCATAAATAAATCATTTTGTGCCCTAAGTATCTGTCTGCAATTGAAATATGTATAGAGTTGGTTTTATTTTCTAACTCTACATTTAGGGACTATTAATCCTGAAAAACTAACTTGCTGAACATGGTACATCTTTTACCCCACCACTAAGAAGGAATAGGCAGGCAGATCTATGTGAGATGGGAGTCAGCCTGATGTAATAAAGTGAGTTCTGGTAATAAAAAATACCTCTTGAAACTCTGTATGCAAAAAAAATATTATGGATATTATGGAAGGGAGGGATGGAGGAAGGGGAGGTAGTGAGGGAAGGAAGGAATGAAGGAAGGATGAAGAGAATAAGGAAAAGAAAGAAGAGAAAACAAAATCAAATACAGTGTTTTATAATGGTTCATTCTTGTTAACTACAAAGCAACAAAATATTTTCTTTTGTGTGTATCATACACACATGAGTATGCAGGTGCACATACAGCTGCAAGAGCATGAGGTAAGAAGATGCAAGTGTCTTCTTCCATCATACACTAGCTTATTGCCTGGAGACAAGACCTCTCATGGAATCAGAACTCTACTATCTCAAAAGCATGGCAGCTCAACAGGCTCTAATCTCCACTGTCTCTGTCCCCTGTGCGGGGCTCTCAAGCATGCACAGCCATGCTCTTCTTATGTGGGTGCTTAGAATTCAAACTCAAGTCCTTATGCTTGCAGACCAAGTGCACTAACCCACTAAACCATCTCCCCACCCCCTAAAATACTTTCTTTATATATATATATATATATATATATATATATATATTTTTTTTTACTAATTTGCAGTTGGACTGGAGAGATAGTTGAGCAGTTCGGGACTCGTTACTCTGCTAAAGCATCTAAGCTCTTTTCCCAGCACCCACATCAGATGGTTCACAACCACTTGTAACTCCAGCTCCAGGACATCCAGTGGTCTCTTCTGGCCTCTGTGGGAAGCATGCAGGCAAGTGGATGGCAATTGAAGAAACCATCCTGAATGAGGTACCCCAGTCACAAAAAGAGGAACACATATGTACTCACTCATATATGGATTTTAGACCTAGATCAAATGATCACCAGGCTATAATTCACATCACCAGACAAACTATGATACAAGGTGTATTCTAAGAGATTCATATAAAGTCCCTCACAGAAATGGGAAGGGACAGGTCCCCCAGAGCTCAGGGGAAATGGGGGGGGCAGCAAATGGAGAGAAAAGTAGGAGACAAGGAGGGGGAGGAAAGGAAAATATGTGGGACCAGGAAGATTGAGCCCGGTTAGGAATAGAAGATGAGACAGACAGAGAGAGAGAGAGAGAGAGAGAGAGAGAGAGAGAGAGAGAGAGAGAGAGAACATAAAAGATAGAGCCAATAATGGTTTGAAGATAAAATTGAATGCAAAGAAAGGTCTAGAGACCTACAAGACTGCTGCCAACTAACAATCTGAGATTCCATGGAAAGGCTACCATAAATGCCCTTCCCGGAGAGTGAGATCAACATCTAACTTATCCATGGAGTCCTAAACTTGTGCCTGATGGAAACAGGAGCAAACACCCATACATAAAAACTGAGTCAAAGTAGAACCCGGATGAAGATGGAGAGGACAAGACCAGGCTACAGAAACACGTAGAGACAACTTACCTGAACAAAAAGGAGCTAATGGGCCACCAGACTGATAGCAGGGAAGCCAGCATGGGACTGACTCAGGCCTCAATGAATATGTGTCTCAGCCAGAAGGACTGAGCAGTCTAAGGGAACTCAGACAGTGGAGCCGGGATGTATCCCTGGTGCACAAAAGGACCTTGCTAACACATCTGCCATGGAGGGATAACTGCCTTAACCTAGAGACAGGAGAGAAGCCCTAGTCCCTACTTCACATGACCTGTCAGATCTACATGAACCCAACTGGATGGCATTCCCCTACATATGGAATTGGGGTGGGGGATGGGAGGGGAGGATGGTAGAGTGCTAGTGAGAGGGCAGAGAGTGTAAAAGGGAGGAAGGAAGTATGGAGGGAAGGAGGGAGGAAGGAATGAAGGGAGGGAGGGAGAGATGGTGGAATGAAGGGAGGGAGGGAGAGAGGGAGAGGGAACTGGGATGGACTTGTAAAATAATAAATTAAATTAAAAAATGCTTTGACTCCAAAATTTAAGTTCAAGGACAAGTTACTGGGGAAAAGGATTTCTATTTTTGCTTCCACAGAAAATGAAAAGATGTGGATTCCTTCCAGATTAATGTGGTTTGATCAAGCCAGACTGCCTGAAACAGAGTACCAGGTGATCCTACATTCAAAACAGCTTGACAAAGCAGCCTTAAAAACTACAGCCAGGATTTCTGCATCTTCTTGGAATTACCTTGACAGAGCCCCTTACCAGCAGGAAGTAGTTTGGAAAATCCATGCCCAAATTCCCAAATATTGTCTAATGTCTGTTTTCATTTAAATGGACTTGGTTATATAAAACAACAAAAAGGTAAAAATCATTATTTTATTTCTTTATTCATGAACTCCAGGCTAAAATACTGGAGAACAAAGACATGGAGTGTTAACATATATATTACTAATCTATGTATGTTCTAGAAGCATTTGAAATGTAACAAAAAGACACAATAGCAAATAAAAGCTGTTAAAATTATTTGATTTTACAATTAAGTATAAAATTGTGACCATCTAATGACTAAACCCAAAAAGCCATTACCTTGAACTGATTTTCCTTTACTTTTAGGAGTCGCTCTGCCTGTACGTTGGATACTTTGATTGCTATTTTCTGTTTATTGAGTTGATTCATTTGTTCTTTCATGATTTTAGCTTCTTCTAAATACTGATAGGAAAACAATAACAAGGATGTGAAAGACAGCACAATTTTTAGATGAATTTTTTCAATATCATTAAAAGATACTAAATGTGTCATTAAATGATATTAAAAAAGATAGGGCTGCTACTTAAATAGGCACTCAGATGTGGTTCCTTTTTATAAAGAACTTTCAAAGCAGAAGACTATAAAATAAGAAATATTCTTCAACTGATTTCCAAGGAAAATTTTCATCAAATACATGATTTTGACACATACTTGTCTGAAAAATCTAGTCAAAGTCAATTATTTCTATCTTTGTACCCTATATACTCTGCTACCTCTCATTACTTTTGTTTGTTTGTTTGTTTTGTTTTCCCAATAGAGTTTCTCTGTATTGCTTTGGAGCCTGTCCTAGAACCAACTCTGTAGACCAGGTTGGCCAGGAACTCACAGCAGAGATACACCTGCCTCTGCCTCCCAGGTGCTGGAATTAAAGATATATGCCACCAATGTCCAGATATATATGTATTCTGCAGATAATCTGAGCCTGAACTTCACTGTGAGTTCCAGTTTAGCCTGGTATACAAGGTAGGACTTTGAAGTGAGGATGACTCAGCTTTTATTATAGTAAGGACAATCAACACAGGAGTCCTCACCACCATGTTTTCTAAAATCTGAGATGATAGAACAAAGATGTGAAAGGAAAAGGTATCAACCCCAAAAGAAAATGGACAAACAGAAGGAACACATGTGAGACCAAACAATCCACAGACAATAGAAGAAACGTAAGCCAGTTAGAAAAACATAAAATAAGATGACCTGACACAATCCAGAGAGGCTCATGATTGAAAGCAGTAGTAATAGATGGAGGAATGGAAACCAAAAGGGAAGAATTAGGGAACTGGAGAGACAGTAGAGTAGTTAAAAGCACATACTGCTCTTGCAGAGGACCCACACTCAATTCCCTGCACCTGCACTGAATAGCTCACAGGTGCCTGTAATTCTACATGATCTAATGTCCTCCTCTAGTCCCTATGAATGCCTGAACATATACACACATACCAACACACAGAAGCACACACATGCTCCTATTACCTCCCTGTACCTGTCTTCTCTCAAACATGCATATACACATCACATTTTCTGCCACTCATCTCATTTTTTCTTTTATGCATACATATAGCTGAATGTTTCATCCCTACTGGCAAGCTTCAATAGTGCTGTAATGTGTTATGCATACAGCAGTACAAAACATATTCATCAATGTCACCTACCTGTGAAGCACACAAGCTGAAATAACAACCCAGCAGCAAGATGTGGCTTATGGTACCACAGTAGCATAAGTGTTATTAAAGTAAGCAACCACTTTCTAATTGGATTTAAGGCCAACCAGCTCAATGAGATGAAATGTTGTCCAGCACAGCAATGCACACCTTTCACCTCAGTGCCCAGGAATCAGAGTCAGGTGGAATTCTGTGAGATCAAAGTCATCCTATTCTGCATAGGGAGCTCTAGGATAGACAGAATTACTTAAGAGAGATTATTCTTTCTAAAAAAATGAGGTGGACCATTCCTGACACTGTTAAGGCCTCTAGTCACTACACACAGTTACACACATGTATCCACGTGCACAAATGAACACACACACACACACACAAACACACTCAACAAATCAGGTAGTCGTCAATATCATTATCATGGAAGGGCTTTAAAGTTAGTCTCTCCAGTATTTCTTGAATTGCTATATGGTCACGGAAGGCCTCACCCTCCATGGGAAGCAGAAAGGGGATAGGGAGGGTTTTGGTGGGGGTTATAGGCGTGAATGGGCACATGAGAGAACTGGTATTGACAACTATGTTTCAAATTTAAATAAAAAGGAAAAAAATTTAAATTATCATAATAAATAGTTCTAGTAACCCACAGTTTCAAGAGTTTCCAGAATGTAAGAATCCAACATATTAAAGAAACCCTATGTGACACATCATCACACAATCTCAGAGAGCTAAAGACAACAGAAAGATAATGTTTGAGGAGAAAAAAAGGGCAGAAAGTAAAGAAGGTCCCATAATCAACACATCATTCAAGTTTCAAAACCAAACATGGAAAGGGAAGACAATGCAGCAATATCAAAATTTTATTTTAAAAAAAAAATGCAGCACAGCAGAAAGATCTCCTGGTTTGAGCCTGCATGAGATTATAGTGAGTTCCAGAACAGCCAAGACTATTACACAGAGAAACCCTGTCACACTAACAACAACAAAACAGAATCAAAACACCAAGAAGTGCAAATAAGTATCTATATATCAGAAACATGAAAGAGAACAACGAGTTAGAGCAATTTCTCAGGGGTAAATACTGTTCTCCAAGGGGTCCTGAGTTCAGTTCCCAGCACCTATATCGGGCTCATCACAGCCACTTATAACTCGAAGTACAGGATCCTTCCCTGGCTTTTGAGAGCACCTTAATCATGAACACAAATGCACAAAATAACACACGCACAAAATTAAAAAAATAATAATTAATTTCAAAATAAAATCTTTTTTAAAAATGGAAAATAAGACCTTTACAACTATGCGATCTCCTTTTAAAATTACCTACTGTACCTTATTATCTGAAAGATAAACAAGCTAATGAATCACAAATGTTCTCTTTTGAAACAGGAAACAGAACATTTAAGATAAGGAAACAAGAATCCTTGGCTGCTGAGTGAACTGTAGTATCAGGGCAAAAATGCCCTGATTTTTCTTTTTCTTTCTTTGCTGTTTCTCTTTCCTTCCTTCCTTCCTTCCTTCCTTCCTTCCTTCCTTCCTTCCTCCCTTCTTTCCTTCTTGGAGACATGGTTTCTCTGGCTATCCAGGATCTCATTCTGTAGACTTGGCTGGGCTCAAAGTCACAGAAATCCACCTGCTTCTGTTCACAGTGCTGGGATAAATAGGTATGTGCCACCACTGCCACTTATTACACATTCATATTGGACTAGGAGAATCTAAGATTCCAAGAAAAATGGCCCCCAGAAGAAAATGAAGGAGGAGTCCAAGAATATCTATGGTTATTTCACAAGACCTGAATTTGGTTCCCCTTACAGACTATGTTGGGGATCTGATGTTTGTGGCCTCCAAAGGTAACTGCACTTGTGTGCACATATCTAGAATCAAGTTAAACACATGCACATAATTAAAATAAAAAATAGAAGAGGAAAAATCTGGCAGTAGGCACACACATACCTATGAACCTAGTAATTAGGAGACTGAGTAGCTCAATAAGTTCCAGGTGACCCTGAATTACAATACAAGGCACTCTCAAAAAATAAATAACAATAATAACAATAATAGAATTGTAAATGAACAAATTAGCCAAGGCAGTTGAGTGATTGACATTTCCATTGAGATAGATTACAAATATCCATTACAGGAAGCCAAGTAGTAAAATAAAAAGTCGGGCAACTCAGGATATATAGTCAAGTCAGACAGACTACTATTTAGAAATCCATAATACTGTAAGAAGAAAATGTCTCACTAGTAAGTTGGGAAGATAGTAAAAGCGTTTCCACAAGAGGAAAAGAACAGTATGTCTGTAACAAAGTAAAGGTAAGGACCAACACCATGTCACACCTGTGCACAGTCAAACTCTCACACCACACTCCCACAAACACTCCCATCTCAATATGCACACTAGAGAAAGGAAGGAAAAGAGAGAAAGCAAGGGAGGGAAAGGAAGGAAGGAAAGAGACAGAGGGGAAGGGGCCTGGGACCTGGGACCTGGGACCTGGGAAGATAAACAGATTTATGACAACAGCAGCGAGAGCACATGTGTGTTAGTGTCTAGGGGAGAGGAGGGTGAGGACAAAAGGTAAGTTGTCACTTTACATTACCCAAGAACTCCTCCCTCCTCTAGGACCCCAATTGGTAATATGTTAACTCTTACTACAGTCTTTATTGTGAGGAATCCTGTTAGCTGATGTCTCCTGTGAGAGTAAAAATTCTGACTGCCTTCTATCATGGGAGAAGACAGATGGAAGAACACACTTTTAAATCCTTTATGGGAGTCTGCAGGGGAGACTTCCTGATCTCATAAGTTTACTCATTCACTACACAACTCCACACATGGTTCATTCGTGAGGTAGGTGCCCAGAACATCAAAGGCTATATTCACATCTAAAAGAATATCTGTAGTCTACAAACCTGATGCACGCTTTCCTGAAGTTGAGAATTTTCATTCAAGGTATCTGTTATTACTCCTTTAAGTCGTTCTTTATTTATTTCAATTATTCTTAGTGTGGTTTTGACCTAAGTAATAGAAATACACCGTTTAAAACAATTTAACAGAAAGCCACCTGATTATGTCTTTTCTGAAGAACATAAAATGTAAGCAAAGGCCAAAACATTCCACTATTTACAGCAGAGGCAGTATCAGCACTACTTTGATACACTCATTTGCCACATGACTTTGAACAAATTATTGAACCTTCCATGTACAATGCAGACAATTTTGTTAATTACTGAAATAGAAAAGAACAATTATTAGTTACAGAATTACTGGTTTATTTAGCGGCTTACTTAAAACACTGCTTGTACTGCCTATTTGACAAACATGGCTTCACTTGCTACCAGGAAGGGAATAACCTGGAGAAATAGCTGAAAGAATGGGTTGTCACCCTTAGCAACCTGCTACTGTCATGTACACGTCAGAAAAATTTGCTTGCTTGCCTGCCCACTTTGTGATTTTAAAAAAGAAACTCTAACCAGAATTGAAGGCTTTCTGGAGGTCTCATGAGGACAGTCCTCATGCTCACTAGTGCAGGAGTAGATATTAGAGAAAGAACCCACACTCCTTACTCTTTAACTCTTGACCTAAACTTTATATGGCAGGAAGCAAATCTTTTTATTATCGATACATGTTACACAACTTCAAGAGTGCTCAGATACATTCCTAGGTTAAATATATCCAGAGGAAAATGAATTTCAATCAAAGTAACACATTAAAACAAATGCATATTTAAGCTTGGCTACATTTCAAATACTAACATTTTATTACCTAATGTGATGGCTATGTTTGGTTATCAACGATAACTGGAATTAACTAAAACCCAAGGAAGCTGTGAGTACTGTTTCTAAATTAAATCATTTCAAGTGGCAAGACCCACATTTAATCTGGATCTTTTGAGGTGGGAAGATACACCTATATTCGGGGCTATACCTTCTGGCAGCAGCCTATCTAAAGGACATTGGAAGGAGGAAGCTTGCTGGTCCTCACCCTCACTGGCATTACAGCCTACTTCTTTGGTATTCCAGTGTATACTGAGTATCAGGTGAGACATCCAGCCTCATGGACTGGGAAAGTGCTGGATTCTTGGACTCTCTGTTGGTAGACTGACATTGCTGGACTGAGTGGAACACAGCCTGGAAACACTTTAATAAATAATAAATATATATATATGACATCTCCTAAATTCTGTTCCTCTAAAAAACTCTGACAAATATACCCAATAATAATATGAAACATAAATGGTCTTCAGAAGTGACAGACCAATTTATTTCAACTTAACTTACTTCAGCTAGCTGTGATTTGACAGACTGTGATTCATCTGCTAGAGACTGCATCATTTTTGAAAGGTCACTCATCTGAAAAGACAGTATCAGTCAGGAAGTATTTAATAAGTCCATTTTGCTTCAAGACAACATGCATTAGTTAGGTACATTGTTAATTTACTGTTAATAAAAGGGAGAGGCCAGATGAGGAGGCCTTGTCAGATTGCATTCCAAGTGCTCACAAGGATTTTACAAATTATGTAATCACATGATGTTCTTACAAATGCAAAACTTTTCAGGTTTAAGGTGAACCCACTAATTCATATGTTAAATAATCTCACACACATCAAGATTTTGCTTAATCCAGAATTTAAAGTAAAATAAAAGATATATATATATATATATGATATATATTTTTCACTATGAATATTCATGTTATATTGTTTATGGTTACTTGCAACGTAAATATTGAAATTTTCCATTTAAATAACAAGCTAGCCAAGTGTGGGGGTGCACACTTGTAATCCCAGCTCTTAAGAGGCACAGGCAGGAAGGTCATGAGTTTGAGGCCAGCCTCACTTATACATACAGGACTATATTCTAAGACTATGTCAATAAATATAAACAATAAGAAAACAGGAATATGCACAAGCCACTCATCATAACATCTAAAAAGTAAAAGTTTGATGGGATGTGTTGGCACATGCCTTTAATCCCAGAAAACAGGAGGCCCAGGGAGGTGGATCTTTGTGAGTTCCAGGCCAGCCTGGTCTGCATAGTGTGTTTCACAACAGCCAGAGCTATTATACGGAGAAATCCTGTCTTGAAAAAGCAAAACATAACAACAAATAAACAAAAGAGGTGAAAAGATCAGATCAGATGAGAAATTTTTTGTTCTCATATTATTCTACATCATTGTTTTTCTTTTGATTTTTCAAGACAGGATTTTTCTGTGCCACTTTGGAACCTTCCTGGAACTCGTTCAGTAGAGTAGGCTGGCCTCAAACTCCCAGAGATCTGCCTGCCTCTGCCTCCAGAGTGCTAAGATTAAAGGCATTTGTCAAGAATGTCCAGCATGCATTCATTTTTTACATACATGAGTTTCTTTTCATTTTTGAAGATAGTATATCCTCTCCCTGTTCAGGGCTTGGAACTGTTGTTTCTTCCTCCCAACTGCTGGTATTATAAGTTTGTAGCACTATGGTTGGCTCACATATAATATTTTAATCAATATTTAATTTATATAAGATTCATAATTCTCTTGGAATATATAAGACTCACCAATTCCTCTTCTTCATAACGTTTAGCTCTCTCTTCTTCTAGTTTCTACTCTATAAGTAATATTTCTTCTTCAAGTTTAGATTTATCTCTTTCTAGATTTTTATAAGTTGCCTAAAATAGAAAGCTAACTTTAAACAAGCCAAACATAAGAATTTTTAGTTAGGGTAAAAATCAGATGAGTATAGGGTAAAAATCAAATGAGTATACTCAAATTAATAAACACTTTACACATTTTTTCATTTCTCAAATATTAAAATAACAGCAGATTTACCAGTTGCCAGCAACTTCTATAAAAAAAAAAGTGTAAGTATTTTAGGTGCCCACCAGTCAACAATGGAAAACAATGAATACACTCTGAAGGAATTAAAAGAGTTGTATTCCAAAAAAACTTTTATGTAAAAATAAAGAAAAATTAATGAGTTTATTTGGAGTCTAAACTCCCTGCGGATTCTACAAGGGCATTCTACATCATAAACACAGACTTGCTACTTAGGACAGAGGATGACAGAACTGCCATTCTGGACTGAACACATAATCAAAGGGACAAAGTTTTTTTTCTGTTTTAAAATTGGTAGGAGCAGGCTATTTCTATTCACTATAAAGGCTCACAACTCAGTTTTAATAACCGTTCCACTTGCAAAGAGTATTGTGGCATTTCATCACATCATACTCTGTCTGTTAAGACGAGCCATTGTGTCCTCTGAATCAGGAGAGTTAACTGTCCAACTCTCCTAAACTCTCCATTCTGTGACATCATGGTTATGGACTGAAAACTGGCTGTGATGGAGTGTGTAGACAAGGGTTGATGCACAGAAAGGGATTAAATATTTATCACCATGCCAGTCTTTACAATTTAAACCTCTGGTCTACTTTTAGTAAATGTGTACTTCCATGGTAAGAAAAAATAATATGGTTACAACTTACTTGTCTGCTACTATGCTTAAATTTGTGAGAGTTCTATGTTTCTTTCCAGGAGCAAACTATGTCAAAAGTAGGAATTGTCTTTCCAATCCTTTCACCAGAGTACAGAATGCAGAATTTCTTTCTTTCTATAAATCTATAGCTTCTGATAAACTGATTTTGTATCCCTCAAAACAAGTTAATGACAATTGTTGAAACTGTTATGTTTTAAAATATTTTATGCTACCTACAAATATTCTGTTTCCACTAACTTTTTCTGCTCATTGTAAGATCCAGATACACAATTTCATATTTCTCTGACATAATTATTTTTGAGGAGACAAGATATTTCTAATAAGAATTTTTCCCTAGCTTTTATATCATACTTTTGTTTTTACCTTCAAACTCTGTACTTCTGTTGATGCCTTGTCAAAGTTGGCCTCCTTTAAGGATGACTCTAAGCCTTCATACTGAATGAAATAAGGGAACACGTGAGGAAAAAATATTAATTTTTTCTCAACTTGTATCTAAATAGACACCAAAGAAGGAAACAGAATTTATATCCACCATGTAAAGTACCCTTGGATTTTGTGAGCTTAGTTTTGCAATCTAAACACTGTGTTGAGGAAAGCCAGGTCTACAAACAAGCCACAACCATCAGCCTAGGCCACATAAGGCAGAACGTTTCCGTTGTGACTAGCAAAGTTTCCCCACATCTGCTGGGGCTGAAAACCCTAACAGCAAGTGTGACTAAAGAGTATCTAAAGAAGTGAGTCTTCTACTATCCCCTGAACGGATTAATGGCTTCTCCAGTCTCTCAGTAGAACAATATGTGGTAACTGGCTATCAGACATTTATATCATGTGATAAATAAGGCAAGTAAGGAAGATAAAATCTGTGAGTTTCAGACCACCCTGGTCTACAGAGTGAGTTTCAGGACAGCCAGTGATGCACAGAGAAACCCTGTCTCTTATATCTCAGCACCTCAGAATTTGTGTTATTTAGAGACAAAGCCTTTGAATACAGCTAGGTTAAAATGAGGGATTTAAGATGACCGCAACGTAATATGACTGATATCCTATGAGGAGAACACTAGGACAGAGAAAGACACAACAAGCAGACAGTACTATCTAAAGTCAAGGGACAGGTCACAGAGGAAGCAAAGCCTGGCTATATTTCCATGGACTCGTTTCAGGAACTGTAAGGAAATTCACTTCTGCTGCTAAAGGTATTTTGTCACAGTAGCCCTAGCATGTCCAAATGAAAACAGTAAATAAAGTCTCTACATGATAACAAGTAAAAGTACCTTTACATCCTTGATAAGCAAAAAAATCTCATGAAACATTACACTACATTAAATTGTAATTCAAATTCTCTACCTTCTAAGAAACCAAACAAAACAGAAATGTAAGCCACAGAGTAGAAGAGATTTACAATCCATATATCTGAAAAAAACTCTTATATATGACATAAAATAGTAAAAGCAAAGGCCCTAATCTATATGGCATAAACTGAGAAAGATTATGAGTGCATTTAAAAGGATGGAAATGGGCAAGTGAGATGGCTCAGTAAGTAGTTAAGAAGCTTGCTGCCAAGACTGATAACCTGAGTTCAATCCCAGGGACCCACATAGTAAAAAGAGGAAAGTGACTCCTCCATGTCCAATGATCCTATGATCACTACACAAATGCCTTCTTGGGACATGCCTACACACATAGACACAAATAGACACACACAATAAAAATAAAGTCATCTTTTAAGGTGGATAAGACGTAAAAGGCAATTTTTTTATTTAATTTTATATAACAAAGTCCAATTAAATGAAAACAAACATTTATACACAATATTTGGGAATTTGGGCGTCGTTCTTTCCAAACTACTTCCTGCTGGTAAGGGGAGCTGTATTGGGGGATTCGAAGAAGATTCAGATATCCTAGCTGTAGTCTGTAGGGGGGGTTTGTCCAGCTGTTTGGAATGTAGGATCAGCTTGTACTCTGTTTCAGGCGGTCTGGTGTGATCAAACCACATTAGTCTGGAAGGAATCCACATCTTTTCACGTAAAAGGCAATTTTACAATATCTAAATGAGCAATAAGCAAATCAAGGTGCTCTGACTAAATAGTCAGGGAAGGTAAACACTACACATCACCAGGGTGGCTGCAAAGAGAATGGCTAAGTGATGAAGTTGAGCAGCAACAGAGCTCTGGTCTGAAACAAAGCTCTGATGGCAGGCAATAACCCATGGAGAACAATTAAGCAGCAAAACTGTGATGGGTGGTATTTTCAAACACATCTTACCTCCTCTTGAGCAAGGCACACTTTGTCAATTAGATCACATTTCTATTTATTTCCATTGCAAGTTCCACAGCCAGTCTATTCTCTCTTACTAAGAAATCAAAGGAAAGATTATTAGTACTAAAGTGTGAAAACACTTTAAATTAGATACAATCACAAGATCTAAAATCAAAAAAGACTTACTCAAATAAAGTCGGCTCTGAATCTGAAACAAAAATTTAACAAAATTACATTAAAACAAATATATCTTCAAGCAAATCTATCTGACTTCTGCTTCCAGCTTTAAGACGTCAAATTTCTTATGGCCTTATGGTAAATAAATTACCCGAAAGCCTTTTATTTCAAATGAAAACAATGCTATATAGTAAGGTCTCCCATTGTGTGGTATCATGTGTGTCTCTGAAACAGTCTCATTCTAAAGAAAACTGTATAATTCCACTTAACCCCATGTTTCCCATGCATATATTGGCTCTAAAACAAAGTATTTTAAGGAGCCACCATTATTAAATCTCCTACGGTTAATAATCAAAATAAAAATATATGAAATATCATTGGACCATAGACCTTGACTGACTAAAAAACTCATTAGTCTTTTTCTTCTTCATACTTCAGCTTTCGATGAGGAAGGGATAAATACACCCTTGAGAACAGTGGGGATAGGGTAAAGTGATCAAAGGGACGCAAACAAGAACACTCATGCCACCTAGAAAACAGAGACAGAAAACTGGAAGAAAAAAAATGACAAAAAACAGTGGGATATATGTAAGCAGAAGGTAAGGAAGAAAAAACCATGAAGATATTAGAAATGAAGTCAGTCAGAAGCACAAAGGCCAACATCTAAAAAGAAGTCTCAGAAAGAAAACGCTATGTTATGACTCGCTCCTTAAAAACAGTTAGCATAGGAAAAAGCAATATGTGATCCAGGAGAGCCATGAAAGTAGCGATTTTTACTCTTAGTTGGGAAGTAGATATACCTGCAAACTTTTTAATATTGTTAAAAACAAGCACAGACACCCCAAATTTAAAGAAGAAAAGGGAAAGAAAGAAAGTTGGAGCTTTAGTACTAGTGTGTAGTATCCCTACAATAAAATCTTTTAAAATATACTTACATAAAAATATTTCTGTTAAACCCTGTTCAGTTTTTAAAAACCACCTGTTAGCATAATGCAGAACACTGAGACCTAACTCATTTCCCTGAAATAACAAGTTTCTCCAATTGGTTGTTCAGTCTAAACACAAAATGAAGGTTACAGAGAAATGACTCAGAGCATTAGTTAGTCTTGTAGAGGACCAAGATTCAATGCCATCATCGACATTATAGCTCACAATCATCAGTAATTCCAGCTCCAGGACATCCAACAATGGCCCACTAATCACATCTGTAGACCAGGAACACGTAACACACACACATACATACAAGCAAAACAGTCATACACATAAAAGGAAATAAACTTAAAAAACAAAAGCAAAAAACCTAGAATGACCATTCACTTACTATAAGTGGTAACTTACTGATCGCTATCCTCTCCAAAGAAATAAGAAAATGGTAAGCAGTGCAATGGCAACCACACATATCAGCGATTCTAATGATGGCTCACTAGGATAAAAGCTTGTTGTCATATCTTCAGGCACTGCTGCCACAACCTTCGAGACAAAGAAAATAAACCTATAAGCATGCTTCTTCAACAGTACTGGTACAAAGACAGGCACAGGTGGCTGTGGCCAACTCTATTCATATTGAATGGGCTACCATAAAATACAAAGCAGAATGCCTCCAAACATGTTTTCTAGTAAATTACAATTGTTCTTTTTGAGGGGCTAAGTGTGGTGAAACAGTAGTTTTCAAACAGAAGTTATGGGGAGATTCCACAGAGCATAACTCCAGGAGAGTTAAAGGATAAGGATATAGTATCAAGAAAAGAACATTGTGGAATATTTTATATGTGTTTCATTCTTTTATGTTGCATTTGTTTAACTCTGTAAAGCTGCATTACTTTGCCTGTCTAAAACACCTGATTGGCCTAATGAAGAGCTGAACAGACCAATAGCTAGGCAGGAAAAATAGGCAGGGCTGGCTTGCATGCAGAGAGAATAAATAGGAGGAGAGACCTAGAGAAGATCCAGGGACAAGAGGAGGAGGACACCAAGGGCACCAGTCACAGAGTAAGAAGGAAAGAAAGGCATATAGAATAAATGAAGGGAAAAGAGCTCAGAGGCAACACATAAAGAGAAATGGGATAATTTAATTTAGAAAAGCTGGCTAGAGCTAAGGCCAGCCATTCATAAGTAAGAATAAATCTCCATGTATTTATTAAGGAGATAGGTGAGGGACACCATCCCTACCAAAGATTTTTAAAATCCAGTAAAAAAGAAAAGTATCAATGATCTGGGTTGGGTTCTTTTCCCTGAGTTCAGGTTCATGATTTATCCCTATGCACTGGGTTTGAAATAACATTTCCTGCAGAGGAAAAACACTGATCTGCAGCTTGTCCTCTGAGGAAGGGAGAGTGAGAAGAAACAACTGACAGAGCTTCAGAGTTGGGATTTAAACCCTTCCTTCCTGTCTCTTGAGTTAAATTAATGCAGTTCAAGCCCAAAAAGAAAATGGCTCTTTCAAAAACAACCATAGAAATGATGGGCTTGACTCGTTCCAGGCATCAACATACACCATCTAGAAACTCCACAGCTGTCTTCTCCTTGGGGTCTGACAAAATGAACAACAAATCCTTAGATAATTACAATCTATAAAACCTGTTTTACTCCCTCCTCCCCCGCCTGAACTCCCTGGATTGGCCCCTGATCCTGCTGCTCCTGTCTCCGGTCCCCATTGAGAGCACCCTAGGAGCTCTGATACACCTCCACCCATCCCAACCTCCAGCCTACCCCCCCTACCCTGTGCCCTACCCCACCTACAGTCCTGCCGCTCTGGTTGAGCACTGGGACAGAGGGTGGAGCCAACAGTCCACCCTACTTCGGAGACCTCTCAGAGCAACTCCGAACAAAGGAGACCTGACTATCCACGCGGGACCACCTGTAATTTCCACCAGCTTGGTCTCTGACCCCGCCTCCAGTCCTCTGCTGGAAACCACGGACACAAGCTTAACCAATAGAATGCAAGAGATGGAAGAGAGAATCTCAGGCGCAGAAGATAAACTAGAAGAAATAGATTCATCGACCAAAGAAAACCATAAATCCAACAAATCCTTAACAAACAACATCCAGGAAATGTGGGACACCATGAAAAGGCCAAACCTAAGAATAATAGGCATAGAGGAAGGTGAGGAAGCCCAGCTCAAAGGTGCTGAAAACATATTCAACAAAATCATCGAGGAAAACTTTCCAAATCTGAAGAAGGACATGCCCATGAAAGTACAAGAAGCATACCGAACCCCAAATAGGCTGGACCAAAGAAAAAAGACCCCTCGACATATAATAATCAAAACACCTAGCATGCAGAATAAAGAAAGAATATTAAGAGCAGCGAAGGAAAAAGGACAGGTAACATATAAAGGCAGACCTATCAAAATTACACCTGACTTCTCCATGGAAACCCTCAAGGCCAGAAGGTCCTGGATAGATGTTCTAAAAGTACTAAGAGAACACGGATGCCAGCCTAGGCTACTATATCCAGCAAAACTCTCAGTCAATATAGATGGAGAGAACAAGATATTCAATGACAAAACCAGATTTTCCCAATATGTATCCAGCCCTACAGAAAGTATTGGAAGGAAAATTCCAACCCAAGGAAGGTAACTACGCCCACAAAAATGTAGGCAATAGATAATCCAACTACACCAGAAACCTAGGGTGAAGCAGAACAAATATATTCACAATACCACTGCCAACAACAAACCTAAATCAAACAAGCATCAACAATCAATGGACCTTACTCACCCTCAACATTAATGGTCTTAACTCACCTATAAAAAGACACAGGCTAACAGAATGGATACGAAGACAGAATCCATCCTTCTGCTGCATAGAAGAAACACATCTTAGCTTCAAAGATAGACATTACCTCAGGGTAAAGGGTTGGGAAAAGATTTTCCAATCAAATGGAAATAAGAAGCAAGCAGGCGTAGCTATCCTAATATCTAACAAGTTAGACTTCAAACCAAAACTAGTCAAAAAAGATGAAGACGGTCATTTCATATTCATCTCAGGAGAAATCCATCAACACAAAGTCTCAATTCTGAACATCTATGCCCCTAATACAAAGTCACCCACATTCGTAAAAGAAACACTACTAAAACTCAAAGCTCATATAAAACCTCACACACTTATAGTGGGAGACTTCAATACACCACTCTCAACACTAGACAGGACCACAAATCAGAAACTCAACAAAGAAACAAAAGAATTAACAGAAGTTATGTCTCAACTGGGGCTAACAGACATCTATAGAACATTCCACCCAAAGACAAAAGACTATACCTTCTTCTCTGCTCCACATGGAACCTTCTCTAAAATCGACCACATACTAGGAGACATAACAAACCTCAACAGATACAAGAGAATAGGAATAGTCCCCTGTATCTTATCAGACCACCATGCTTTAAAATTGGAATTCAACAACAACACAAATAGCAGAAAACCTGCACACTCATGGAAACTTAACAATGTGCAATTGCACCACTCCTGGGTCAAAGAAGAAATAAAGAAATTAAAGACTTTCTAATTTTCAACGAGAATGAGGATACAACATACCCGAACTTATGGGACACTTTGAAAGCAGTGCTACGAGGGACGTTCATTGCACTAAGTGCCCATATGAAGAAAACAGAGGATAGTCACATAAAAGAATTAACAGCCCAACTGAAAACCTTAGAACAGAGAGAAGCGAATTCACCCCGCAGGAGTAGATGCCAGGAAATAGTCAACTTGAGGGCTGAAATCAACAAAATAGAAACCAGGAAAACAATACAAAAAAATCAATGCAACAAAGAGTTGGTTTTTTGAGAAAATCAACAAGATAGACAAACCTTTATCCAAATTAACGAAAAAGCAGAGACAGAATATGCAAATTAACAAAATCAGAAACGAAATGGGGAACATAACAACAGACACAGAGGAAATCCAGTTAATTTTCAGGTCATACTTTCAAAATCTGTATTCCACAAAAATTGAAAATTCAAAGGAAATGGACAAGTTTCTGGATAACTATCACTTACCAAAATTAAATCAAGAACAGATAAACAACTTAAA